CAATTATGTTCTTATGACTCTGAGAATGTGGTGCCATCAGTCACGTGATCATTTTCCTGCATAACCTTTTGGTTTCACTGGAGTTGGTGTTTGCCTTTTTCTTTTTTTTTGGATTGGTACTCTGTATTCAACTCTTAAGTTCCCCCTTTGAAGTAGACATCCTCTTAATGCATTAAGCACTTCAGGGTACTGTCACTTGTGTCCTGAAGCTGGTGCTCCTGGTGTCCTCTGCTGACCCTCTCTAGGAGCCTGGTTGCTTTGTGAACTAATACCCTCTGACTTACATTTTTGTTTTTTAAATAATTTTTTTTTGAAGCAGACTCTTGGTATGTTGCCTGGGCTAGTCTTGAGCGCTCTGTGTAGTCCATGGTGGCCTTGAACTTATGAACCTCCTGTCTCAGCCTCCCAAGTGCTAGGATTGTAACAATGCACCACCATGCCCAGCACCAGTTTTGAGATTTAATTCGTATACCGTACGGTTTGCCATTTTCGAGTATATGGTTCAGCTGTTTTTATTACACTCACCAAGTTGTATCTCACCACTACTTATAGAACATTTCACTATCATCCCAGATAACAACGCATACCTACCAGCAGTCACTCCTCATCCCTCCTTCCCATGTCCCTGAGCGAGTAATCTTGCTCTGCCCATTTCATGTCTTTCCTATAGTGTGTGGCCTTTTGTGTCTGGCTTCTTGCACTGTGCATAATGCTTTCAAGGTTTGTCCGTGTTGTAGCATGAACCAGCCCCCATTCCCTTTTATGGCCAGATAATATTCCACCCTGTAGATAAGGTACCTTTGTTCATTCACTCATCAGCTGATGGTTATTTGAGTTGTTTCTGCTTTTTGAATTTTGTGAATAATTCTCTGACTCACTTTTGTGTTAGAGTCTTAATATCTTGGAACCTGTATTTTACTATTCCTGCATTTCTTCCCTTCTTTTAGTGGGCAGTGAGTCTAGAAATGACTTCATCCAGCTTCTCCGTGGCTCTGTCTATTATTCTATGTGAGAAATACTTTTCCCTCAGGACTTTGAAGGTTTTCCTTCATTGTTTTCTAGTTTACTTATAGCTTTTAGAAATTCATTGAGTCTAACTTTCTACCCTCCTCCCATTTCAGAAGATTGTTGCCTCTTTCTGTGCCCTCTGTGTTCTGAAGTTCGAGTTTGTGCCTTTCTTTTCCCCCTTGTGCTGGGTGCGAGTTGAGCTCTTCAGATCTTGATAATTGTTTTAGGTTCTGGGAAATTCCCCAATGGGGCCTCTGAATTCCTGTTCCTGCATTAACTTCTTCCCTTTCTTGAGCTCTTCTCCTCATACTTATAGTTCTATTTCCTTTTTTTAAAAAACATTTCTTATTTCCCATTTGGTTATCTTTTGCCTCTATTTTCTGGAAAATTTCTTACCCTTTTCCCTTATATTCAGTCTAGTTTTGCTGTCATAGCTGTTTGTGTGTGTGTGTGTGTGTGTGTGTGTTTGTGTGTGTTTTGCTGCTTGTGTATTTTCTTTCTTCTTTTAAAATGTCTCCCTTTTGTTTTATGGCTACATCATCTTCTCTCACTGTCTCTGGGAATATCACTGATGGTTTGTGTTTGAAGTTTTCCTCAGTAGTCAGTCCTTCTCACAGTTGTACCTCTCTCTTTCTCTCTTCACCCCTGTTCTTTCTTTCATCAGAGGTGCTTGTCTCAAATGTTAGGCGATTTCTGGCTGTCGACACAGATGTTAGAACAGGATACTAAAAGTTGGTAAGAAGCTCTGGAAAGATTTGCTTTGGGCCCCTTGGTGGAACTGTCTGACTGTACCGTACCACAGGAGAGCCACATGTCATCTCCTTAGGTCTCTTCTCTTAGACTGGTTAGAGTCCCAGGACAATCCATCGTCCTCCCTCCTTCCCTCTTCGTTTTTGTGGCAGGATCTCGCTATGTAGCCCAGATGACCTTGAACTCTCAACCTTCCTGCCTCAGTCTTCCAATTGCTGGGATTGTAAGCCGATTGCTTCTTTTTTTTTAATTTATTTTTTTATTTTATTATTCATATGTGCATACAAGGCTTGGGTCATTTCTCCCCCCTGCCCCCACCCCCTCCCTTACCACCCATTCCGCCCCCTCCCTCTCCCCCCCACCCCCTCAATACCCAGCAGAAACTATTTTGCCCTTATCTCTAATTTTGTTGAAGAGAGAGTATAAGCAATAATAGAAAGGAACAGGGGTTTTTGCTGGTTGAGATAAGGATAGCTATACAGGAAGTTGACTCACATTAATTTCCTGTGCGTGTGTGTTACCTTCTAGGTTAATTCTTTTTGATCTACCCTTTTCTCTAGTTCCTGGTCCCCTTTTCCTATTGGCCTCAGTTTTAAGGTGTCTGCTTTAGTTTCTCTGCGTTAAGGGCAACAAATGCTAGCTAATTTTTTTAGGTGTCTACTCAAAAAGCTAAACATTGATCTACCATTTGATCCAGCAATACCACCCTTGGGGATATACCCAAAAGACTGTGACACAGGTTACTCCAGAGGCACCTGCACACCCATGTTTATTACGGCACTATTCACAATAGCCAAGTTATGGAAACAGCCAAGATGCCCCACCACTGACAAATGGATTAAGAAAATGTGGTATCTATACACAATGGAATTTTATACAGCCATGAAGAAGAACAAAATGTTATCATTCGCTGGTAAATGGATGGAATTGGAGAATATCATTCTGAGTGAGGTTAGCCTGGCCCAAAAGACCAAAAATCGTATGTTCTCCCTCATATGTGGACATTAGATCAAGGGCAAACACAACAATGGGATTGGACTTTGAGCACATGATAAAAGCGAGAGCACACAAGGGAGGGGTGAGGATAGGTAAGATACCGATTGCTTCTTAAACAGATTTTTTAACCCTTTGGCTCTCTTCCGTGGGTTTTTAGCCTCGTATGTCTCTCATTTCCAGGGTATGTTACGCTGGGAGTGTGTCAGCCTTCTGTGAGCCATTTTGTTTTAATCAGATCATATTTTGGTGTTGCCTTCTTCTATCTAGCATTGAGATCCTTACCAGTTACCTACTAGGTTCTGAGCTTCTATAATTTTCTGTGTAATTCTCTTTTTTCCTTAAGGGTGATTTAAAAAATAAATTGATATTTCAATGGGATTTTGAGAGGATACGGATGAATGTAAATGAATGTGCTCTATCTTTCACTGGAAGTCCTTTAAACTTATTCTGTAAATAACTTCCAGATGTTAGGTTGTGACAGATAGCTCTCTGCAGTGGCTGGAATAGTCGCTGTAAGCCGCTGTGATGGAAACAACCTGGGGTTTATGTGGCACATTCCTGCTGTCACTGGGGGCCCACTGTGACCTTATGGAGGCTTAGTCATGGCTGCTGGAAACAGAGCCGCAGGTCACATCAGGCATGGTTGCCCCCAGTGCTCCCAGTGTCACTCAGCCTTCCTCACTTTTACTTCCTCCCAGTCACCAGGTGGCTAGCCAGGTGGTTGTCATTTACATCCAGGAGTTTCATCTCTTAGAACCATAGGAAGTTTAGCTTGTAGAGTGCATAGTTGTTTAAGTTGAGGCTGATCCACAGATTTTTTTAAAATAGTTTTATTATATTTTGAATTAGCACACAATAATACCAGCAGGTTTCATTGTGATAATGCCATACATGCATAAGGGAATAAGTTTACCCCCTCTATTATCTTCACATTCCCCCTCTCCTCCCTTTTACAGTTCATTATGATGTCTTTGAACACATACATGCAGTGTATTGTGATCTCCCCACCTCAGTATATTTTCCTTTCCCTCTCCACCCTCTTGTTGATCCCCCAGACCATCCCCCTTTCACATTCATGTCCCATTATCACCACCACCACCACCACTTTAGGAGCAGGTTTCACAAATGAGTCAGAACATGTGATATTTTGAACTTGGCTTACTTCATTCAACATCACGATCTCTCCACCCATTTTTCAGCAAATGACATAAAAACAGTTTTTTCTTTTTGAGTTTATTTTATTTTTTAACTATTTATTTATTTGTTCATTTATTCACATGTGCATGCATTGTTTGGGTCATTTCTCCACCTTGCCCCCTCCCCAATTTTTTCTTAATGGCTGAATAATTGGTTGCAACCACTATGGAAATCAGCATTGAGGTTCCTGAGAAAACTAAAAACAGACCTACCTATGACCCTGCCATGCCACTCTTGGTCATATATCCTAAGGAGTGTGAATCCATATATAAAAGAGACACCTGCACACCTGTGTTCATTGCAGCTCTGTTCACAATAGCCAAAATGTGGAATAAGCTGAGCCATGATTTTGAAACACACAGTAGGTCTTGTCCTGGCTGCTGGTGGAGGAGTTTTTTCCTGCACTTATCTCTTGCATTTCTCAGAAACGTATGGCTCATTCTGTTTTTCTGTCCTTGCACCTCTGTACGAAGATTGCATGCATGAAGTGTGCTTGGTAGTGGAAGCTGTGCAGGTGCCTGCAGGGCTATGTGCACTCTGACCCAGGGCCAGTCTCCTGGATTGTGGCCTTGTGCTGCCTTGATGTGATGGTTTTGTTTTTTTCTGAGACTGCCTTGCTGGCCTCCCAAGAACATTCTATGTGTAGCCGGCCCTGATTACCGTTCCACATCAGGCTATAGGCACCTCCTCCTGGATAACTGTGTCCTGGAGAAAAAGGAATTTGGCCAGTGTGAGATGTGCAAGTGTGGCTTTCGTGCTGCCAAAGGGGAAGGAGTAGCGAGCTCATTCCCGGGCCCCGTGCAGCCGTCCTGATGGGTCTCATAGTTTCAAAGCATCACTCAGCACCGCACATTCTATTGTCTTGTTCGAGGCTGTCACAGTGTTGACTTAATTAGTGATTGTGATTTTTTTTTTTCTTACAAAGATCCATCTCTCTGGAGAAGCAAAGGAAGAGTTTCTTCTTGGAAAGGAAGAGTTTTTTCTTAAAGTGGGAAAGCAATTTTCGATTGGTGTTAAAATACTTACGGAGTGTTTTTCTTTTCCTGAAGTTGTGCCAAATCTTTGGAATGTTGATGGAGAAGTTACAGTCCCCGAACAGAAGCCTGGAGAAATTGCTGAAGAGCTCGCGAGCTCCTATGAAAGAAAGCTCATTGAGGTAAGGCCTCCCGGGAGGGCTGTGTACACCATCGTCGCTCCTAGTGCCCTCACTCTGGGGACTCCAGGGAAGGTCCAGCCTACTCAAACAGGGACTTCAGCAAAACAATCCAACAACAAAATGCAAAAAGAATCAGTGTACTTGATAAGAAAAGGAGGAATTGGGTCTTTAAAAATATGACTTAGTTATAAACATCTGGCACTTATGGTAAAGAAATAAGACAGGAAGCATAGGTAACACCGAGGGTGAAAAAAATGTGTCCTCAGATTTGCAGAGTTAACACTCCTAAGTGTGCAACTGTGGTAAGATGGACTGTTGTCTAGGGACTGTGGTTGTCTAGGATGGCCTTTGTTATAAATTGAAAATGGGGCTGACTGTCTGGAGGAACCAAAAAACTGTGGAAGAAGGCTGTAAAAGTAACCGAAGATTGCTTCCTCAGGAGGCAGCAGGCCACTACAGTTATATGGTGATTTCCAGGAATCCTTCCAAGAAGCTACAAAGAGCCCTTTGTAGTTCATAGTTCCTTAAAGCATTTTTTAATGTTTATCTTTATCTATGTATTACCCTGATAGAAAAAAACCTAACCAAGATAGCATAAAAAATAAAACTATACAACCATACACTTGAGTCATTGGGCATAGATAAATAAAAGTTCTAGAAATATTCCCAAAGTCAGTTGCATATTAAAGGGACAATGCATGTAAAAGCACATGTCTGTAATCCCTGCTACTCAGGAGCCTGAGGCAGGGCCAGCCTGGGAGGTTTAGTGAGACTGTCTCAAAATTTTAAAAAAGAGATAGAAATGCAGCTCAGTGATAGAGTGACTGCATAGTATGTGAGAAAACCAGAGTTCAATCCTCAGTACTAAAAAAAAAAGTAGAGTTTATTTGGGATTTAAAGGTTAGTTTAATGCTAGGGAAATTCATCTATGTAAGTCATCTCACTGATAGGTTAAAAGAGAAAAACCAGATGTTTATCCTGATAGGTAACAAAGAGTTACTTGATAATGTTCGTCATTGACACTTGATAAAGGTTTTTTTTTTTTTTTTTTGTAGTAGTGGAGATTGAATTTAGGGCCCCGCACTTGGTAGGTTAGCACTCTAATACTTGAGGTATGTCCTTAGCCCTTTCTGCTTATTTTTCAGACAGGGTTTCATGCTTTTGCCCAGGTTGGGCTCTAACTGTGATCCTCTTACTTCTAGCTCCTGAATAGCTGAGATTACAGGTGTGTACCTGCATGCCTGGCCTTGATAAAAATATTCTTGATAAATAAAGCTAAAGATACTTCTTTGTTATGATTATCATCCTACACCCTTAGTCATAAAGCTGGGGAGCTCATATGTTATAGTGGTCACTTGGTAGTAGTATTGTATTAGTATGCACACATATACAATAGATGTGTACAAGTATACTGGTAGCACTTTCTCTCAATCTCCTACAGTGAGTCAATTTTATATGTATGACCAGAAGTGCCCACTAATTATTATGGAGCCATGCCTGAGCTGAGCTGGGGATGGGTTTCAGAGGCAGAGCTTTGGAAGGGTACCCCCTGAGCTCATTCCTGGTTTAGGCTTCCATTCTTAACTTTTTTTTAAATTTGTGGTACTGGAGTTTGAATTCAGGGGCTCTTTTTGCTAGGCAGGTGCTCTACTACTTGAGCCACACCTCCCGTTGGACTTCCATTCTAATGGTGTAGGTTTCCTGGTTTCTAAGTGAACTCTAAAGAAGGGAGATGACATTAGAAGTAACTTGAGTTCTAATACAGGTGAGCCCAAGGGGAGGTGAGCTCCTGCCTATAGCAAATCAGGCTGGTAGGGAGGAATCAGAAACCAGGCTGGGGAGTCCTGGTGACCAGGGCAACTGTCTAGTTCTACATGACCTTTGCCCCTACTTTGTCCTCTTTTAAGGCTCATTTGATGGGGCTATGAGACTTGGTGTTGGTTGATGACAGTGCCTGAGTACCAGACTACCAGCTCCTGCCTGGAAAACACTGGTGGAATGGGAAACAGAGCTCTCCCCTAAGGAACATTATGCCTATGTGTCTGTCCCCAGTGGACCCCAAGTCCCTGGAAGGCAGAGACTGTCCTGTCCATCTCCGTATTCTCAGGAGCTGTTTTTTGGCAAATGACCCTTGACTGCACTTGTTGCTAAGTTCTCCTGGACAAGGGCTGTGTCATTGCATTGACTGAATGAAGGGCTAGGAGAGAGAGAATGGTGCATGGTTCTGTCTCCAAGACCCAGGGGAAGAGGTGTGCTGGTGAGGACTTTGTCACGCTGGGGTTGGTTCAAGAAGATGCCTGTCTCCCTGATGTCCATTGAGCCTGACAGTGATGCCTTTGATTCCTCCAGGTGGAAGGCCAGCTCACAGGCCTGAGAAGATAGCCCTGGGCTGGCTGACCCAAGCTGTGTTCACTCATGGTGGGCCAGTGGCTGGGGTTGGTTCACTCACAGTTTGCTAGGTGCCTACTTTCTACACAGGGAGCAGCAAGGACAAAGGCCCTGTGCAGGGAAGGAGGTGGGAGGCTGGAGGAGCAGAGAGGAATGCTGTGGGAGAGGTTGTGGCCGTGTCATCACCTAGTTTGTCCATGTGAAAATCTCCTTTCTCTGTGCTTCCTTTAGCTGCTTGTCGGAGATGGAGATGGAGTCACATGGGAAGTTGCGGCTGGACTTCTTGCCTTGGTGTTCATGTTAGCTGTCAGAGTTCACGATGAACCCCCAGATACAGAAACAGTGGTCCAGGGTCAGCCTGGCACTTCCCTTTCTTCCTTTCGGGGTTCTTTGCCTATGAGCAGTAGGGCCGTTGGCTCCTTTCAGGGGGCTGGGAGTTTACCACCCCAGGTTGAGTCCCCTCCTCTGTGGTTACAGAGTGAAGTTCTGTCAGCATTCTTTCACCTGTGCATGGCATGAGCATCTCATGACGCCAGGGTGTTTGCTGAGCCCTTTGTGTGCGCATGAATTGAGGGCTCACAGGTTCTCTGCGATGTTCTCTGTCATGTTGATAATGGCTTGATTTGTACCCAGAGAGTAATGAGCACTTGTGGGAGCGGAGGAATGAAGAGTGTGGTGGGAGCTGATGCAGGCTCATTCATTTCTGAAAGGCAAAGGGCAGAGAGACTGTATTTGACATAAGAAGGCCATGTGGAATATCCTAATGTGACGATTCAGCCCAACATAGAGGGAGTTCCCAAACATGCTTTCCCTAGGTGTCTGTCTTTGAAGTATGAAAGCCACCTCCCCCATCTGCACACACACAATACCTTTGTTCTTGGTGGCCTAGAATCTAGTGTATGAACAGCCCAGAACATAGAAACAACAGAAGTCCTTTGTTAATAGTGGGTGAGCATCACGTGCCAAGGACTAGAGATGAAAAGATTCTTCTGGGGCTCAGAGCAGAACATAGCAGTGATCTAGTGTGTGTGAGGCTGTGGGTTCTTTCTGTCCTTAGCCCTGGAAAACAAACAAAAGCCCAAAACAGATTGGTCCTGAACCCCAGTGATTTGAATTTTGGCAAATAAGAAGGAAAGAAGAAATCTGGCAAGGGTAGACTAATCCAGCAGGTGGAAATCTTGGTAATGTGGTGGCCACTGTGATCCTAGCAGTTGGCTTCCGATGTGGGCCAGGTGAGGAGATGCCACTGCTCTTCTCAGCTCACAGATGGTGTTTTCAGATGTTTAGCAACCTGCCCAGGAGGAAGCATTGTGCCTTCATCACCTGCTGTGGCACCAGTGTATGGTGGAGCTTGATGAACATTGAATAGAGTGGCAGTCAGTTGCAGGGACTCAGTTGTTTGGTGACATGCTGACAGGATGGTAAATGTGAGTCCTGGAGCCCCAGATTGGGAAGGTTAATAGGCCATCAGGAGAAGTCCCAGACATGGCCCAGAGTGTCACGATAGAAAGAATTAGGAAGAGGAAAAGGAGACAGGTTCTGTGGAAGGGGCACACTTCCTCTTGGGACTTAGTTTTAGGGGAGGCTGAGCTTGGAGAGTATGGAGAGGACACTGGTAGACAGAACCGGCTCATGGAGGACATTTGCTGAACAGCTTCATAGTGAGTGTCCAGCCTTTGGCTTCCTCTCTCCTCTGTGGCTTCTCCCGCCCTGCGAGCAGCAAAGTTGTGAGTTCTAGGAGAGGAGCCAAGAAGATGTGAGGCTGAGGCAGAGGCATTCCGTTAGTGGTATTTATTTCCCTACTGACCTTCTTTCTTGGCTGCAAATGACACTGGTGGCATAGTCATCGATGTTTCATCTGTGGGTGGCACCAGCTCTTCATTACCCCAGGGCTGGGCCTACTTTTGCAGAGATTTGTGAGGCAGTATTTGCAGGGAGTGGCCATGACCCGGATGAGGTGGGTCCACCCCTGTGATGGTGAGGGAGAGGGCTGAAGTGTGGAGGTGGAGCCATCGTACAGGACATGGAGCTGTGTCTTCCAAGGCAGTTCTGCTGAGGTCAGCCCTTAACCATAGCCTCTTCAGATAGCTCCTCCCTCCTTTTCTGGGATCACACTGGTGATGCTTAGAAATTCTTTTGTAAACTTCCCATCCCTCTTGAAGATCTAAGACATCAGAAGAGATGGATTTGTTCTCACCAAGGATTTTGAAGATGAAACATATCAGGCACATCCGAGACAGATCTAAGACTTTTGCTTCTTTTACTCTTTTTTTTTTTGAAAGTTTTAGCAAGGATTTATTTTAGTGTAACAGGATAAAGTACAGACATATTGGGGGTGTAGAGAAAAAGAGAGAGAAACATTTCCTGCCCTCATGTAGGAAATGGGAGCAAAGACTCTTCTTTGTCTCTTTTAAGTACAGTTTCTTTGGTTTAGCCTCATCTCCAGAGAATTTCCCATTTTTTCTCTTTTGGCGGTATTGGGTTTTGAACTCGGGGTGTTGTGCTTGCTAGACAGGTGCTCTACCAGTTGAGCCACCCTCTAGTCCTTAGACAGTTTTCCATCCTGTCCTGCTGGTTAGCTTGAAAAAAGTATAAAATATTGGTGACATTTGGATTTTGATCCTGCATCTCTTTGCCACTGCCTTGTACAGCCTGGTGGCTTGGAGGGCATGTGCTACCAATGTCAGACTGACATTTAGTTTGCCACTTCCTACCATGTCCCTGGGCAGGCCCCCTAGCCTCTCTAAGCCCCAGGTTCTCAGTGGAATACAGCTAATAAAAGCTACTGTGGGTTTGTACTGGAGAC